TGAGATGGTTTAAATATTAACAAGTTGATTGGAATTAGAATGGATAATGCCTCTATCATAACTGGAGTTCACCACTCATTTTTGTCAATATTGAAAAAAGACATCCAAATGTAATCACAGTTAAATGCATGTGTCATTCCCTTCATTTGTGTGCAGAAAAGGCATGTCTTTTCCTCCCAAAACAACTAGAGTATCTAGTGCGTGTGGCCCACAATTGGTTTAATACGGCTCAACACGGAAGCACGAGTATGAAAACTTATACCCAGTCACGAATGCTAATTAGCTGTCCAAACGAATCCCGAAGTTAAAATGGATCTACTAAAACTTTATGAATCTATTAAAACAATTGTAGAGCAATTAAATAAACTATTATCACTGTTGAGATTGGCAAAAAAGCAAGTTAAATGTTTGGCAGCTGAACAGTTACACAACATGAAAACCAATGTAAACTGTACATTGTATTTTTAGGAAGTATTAAAATATGTCTGTGAAGTAAACAAAATGTTTCAAGTAACCATGCTGATCTTCTAAAATGGTATCTTGGTTTATCATTTCTATACAAGTCAATGTTACGAAGAATTATTCAGCAAATCATCTACACGAAACTTAAAGAATTAATGAATCTGAATTTTCAGGATCCCCTAATACACGTTGATGGCTTTGAATGGAAATATAAACTTCATCTTGCTGGCAAACAGGTACTGTACTTGAATCTAACAAAGCTCATGTGAAACACAAATGCAGAGATTTTCTTGTAGAGTTATGCAAATAAATCAAACAATGTTTACCAGAAAACTTAACAATTCTTGAACAATTCAGACTACTTCAGCTTCAATTGCAACGTCCAATTACAAACTTGTTATCTTTCAATTTAAAAGAGATAGAAAAAGAATTACAAAACGTACAAAAAACATATGAACACAAGTAAGACAACTAATTTTTTGGATTGAAGTATTAAAGAACAATGCTGCAGGAAATTCGAGATTTCAGAACATTGTTGACCATCAATGAAAAGTTTGTGTTTGCCTGTTTCAAACACATCTGTGGAAAGAGCTTTTTCTGTGCATTTGTAAGAGCCAAGTTGAGAAAGTAGATTGCGTTTTGATATGTCTCAAGCAATTCTAGCAACAAGCAAAAATAAACTTTCTACGACTTTTTAAACATGTCTAATCCTTTAGTAAAATAAATCTTTATTGAGCTATCACTAAATTTATCCTTTTAGGGAAAATTTTTAGGGATTTTTAAAAATTTTGCTGAATTCTACGATATTTTTATCAATTCTACGGGGCGCATAACGTTGTCCAATATAACCTTTATTTATTGATCATTACATCTGAGAAGTGTGTGGAAGCAAAGAAGTCTAAGAGAACGGTTTTGACGGTTTTGTATTGACGATTGAGATAAAAAGGGAATTTATCGCAAAGCACGAAAGAGCGGCCATGTTTAAGATGACGAAGTCGACGGTTTGAAACCAGCAAGCAAAATTTTCATTTTATTATACAGCACTTATATAGTTTACTTATTGTTATGTTTTAATTTATTATTAGGGATTTTAATTGTGTTATTTTCCCCTTAAATTACGTATACTTTCTTGCTTTAATTGTATCGAAATGAATATTGTTTAGAGTCTGGGAATGGATTAATTTGTTTCCATTATTCAGAGTTCAAATGGTCGGTTTTGTATTGACGGTCATAACCAAGTAGAACGAAACTTTAATGCAATTATTAAATCATAATCTGGAGACGTGTCTTTTTAAAATCAAAACCCGAGGATACCCTCTCGAGTGCATAGCACGCTCTTACTCAGAAGGGACTTCGCCTGTCTACCGGATGTTCCATTCATGAATATACAAAAAGAAGATTACAACAGATTACCTATTAGATACTTAGTTGGTTTAATTATTTTAAAAAATTGTAATAAAACTATATGATCATACAACATGTTAATAGAAACTACAGTATATTTTTTAGAATTTATCATCAATAGTATTAAATTTTTGAAAGGTTAAACTGTATAAATAAAAGCATATTACACTTAAACAAACATACATACATACATATAAAGCCTACTTATGACATATTTACGTAGTTTAATGGAAACTAATCGTTCGAACTTCCTGTTTGGAGTAGGTGTATAGTTAAATGTGACGGTAGAGTAGCCTACTTGTATGAAAATAAAAAGCATAATTCATGACATATTTTAAGTGATCACTTTATAAACAAAAAGCCGGTTGCTGTTTGGCAGTAGGATACAGTATGGGCAGTGATATCATAAAAATGTGTAATACTGAAATGTTTTGCGTGCCCGAGACGATCTGCATGTGTAACAGCTATTGGAAGATAAACTGGGTTCCAAAAAAGCATATGTACTATCATCATTCTATCGTAGGTGATTAAATTCAAGCTATATAATAATCGTTAGAAACTAGAACGTAAACACGTTACTATTTAACTTACTCAGCAATATTCGTGCAAAGTCCAATAACAATAGTACTGTCGCGTTTTACAAACACCTATGGATGGTGAAACGTTTAAACTCTGTCCAGACTACTTTTCCTTTTAGTATGCATGCCACGTATTTACAGCATAACATCATATTTCGTGCACTTTTCCATTTACTAATCGATTATAACAGTCCAATGATTTGTAATTTTTAAATGATTGCTTTGTATAATAGCAGGTTCTATTCACAAAGTAGTCGTTCATGTCGAGCAGAATAATTTCAGGTCATTTTGTAGTATCGCTTGCTAAGAAGATGGGTTAGTCTGATCTCTTAGATGTTGAACTACACAATGTCAAATTGCTTAAGCTTTTCTTCATACTGAGCTTTATTATTGTACTTTATGAATGATTAGCCTCATCGTCCAATTATTTATTCTTATTTTATAATTCCTTTGGTTTTTAAAATGTTAAGACAATGTTAACGTGTTAAAAGAGCAAGATACAAACATACCAAAACCATGTACTGTACTGTACGTGCACAACTAGCCGGAAATGACAAAGTTCCACTACTCTCATAATGTACTGTACAAGAGAAAGCCACTACTAATTTGAGGTGGAAAGCATATATTTTAAATGAAATAAATTAACAATATGATTAAAAATTGCAACCCGGTATTATGACAGTACAGTAGACCCCCCTATAACACGGAATTATCTACCATGTTATAGAGGGGTCTACTGTAAATAATTGCTCATTTATAATAATTTTCAATTGCCTTCTGCCGTTTTTTCATACGAGTGCATTGACATCATGTTGCCAATTTGGTGGATTCTCACTACATTTAGTAGGAGATACAGTACTTCGTATTTGAGGTGGGAAATTTCGGGGAACTGAATTTTTACATTTGTACAGTACTGTATTGTAAGATACTGTACTTTTTAAGCAGGCTATGATGATAAGCCTAATAATCGTTAATATCGTTGGCATTATATGAAGTTCGGGCTCGATATAATGCCAAGTTTAATGGCAACAAAATGCGGCAATACAAGAGAGTCGACTATTGTCGAACTAGAGAAAAGCTGGATTACAGAGATTGTACCGTATTTTGATACTCAGATACAATAAACTCCCGCTTTACTATTCATTTAGCTACGATTAGTTTATTCGTAGACTGTGGATAATCATTGAGTAGTAAATAAACCAAAAAACAACTTGGAATCAAACATTTGAGTAGCTACATTTATCATTTTAAACATCTTGATAAAAATATAGTTCTTATACAGTAGAGCGTCGTTTATCCGAATCAATTGGGGACTGGGGTGGTTCGAATAACTTATTTTTCGGATAACGAATCATGTACGAAAAAATATATTAATTTATCCCATGTTGAAATTTCTCTCCGTTGCGTGTCGCTTCGCGTTGAATTTTCGTCGATATTAAGCGTAACGAAGACTATTGTATCGTTAAAAATTATTTTTTTANTAAAACATACTGAAAAATAATATTATTGATGCTGATCAATCCGTTGATACCGATAAATTTTATTGACACTGATCAATCAATAGTAGAAAAGTCTCTTTAATATAGAAAATTAGTCTTCGTTGATTAATGATTGATCAATTTATAAGAAGAAACGAATCTAAGCACTGAATGCCTTTAAAAATAAAGCACATATCGATTCTCTATCTAACTATATTTCATTATTCATATTATTCATATATAATAGTAAATATGAATAAAAATATAGTCTATTTCTCTTTATTTTAATATATTTTTTACTCGCCTAGGAGTAGAAAAAAGAGGAAATGAAGAAGAAGAAAAAAAAAGACTGTACCTGTGACTAGACAAGTTATTATTTCTAGTATCGATCGTATAACTTTGTGAATCCAGTTAAAATTATCAGAGGAATTCAGTCATTCAGTGTCCGGGAAACGTTGAACATTCTTCTATATTTCTATTCTTATCAATATTATAGATAAGACAATTTATCTCTTTTCAATCTTCGTCAATTTACTTAACATTTGATAAATTTAGTAGAAAAGCGCGCACATTCATATAAAATTTTCTCATTCAATACTGATGGTTGCTCTATCGTTTTTCTTTATTGTTATATACATTTATAATTTATTTTTGATATTGTTAAGAAGAAAACTTTTAACGTAAATTTATGTCAGAGATTCACCCAACAACGATATAATAATTCGTATCGGAAATTATAAACTCCATCAGATGAAATTCTAAATATTATAATTGATATATTGTAATTTTTAATGTATAATTTTTTAAAATAAACTAAATTTGTTTTAACTAATCAGAATACAAGATTTTAATGGCTATTTTTGGATTTCAAGTTATAAAATATACAATTCTAGTAGTGATTAGAAGAAGAAAGCTTTTCTGCATCTTGTTATAAAGTATTTTCTATCGATACTCATTTTTCCCGTACATATATATCAATTATAATTTTCTATAAATCAATACAAACATGTTTATACTGTTTAAAATAATATACAAGTTTCATAACTTTGTATAAAAAATATCAAATTAAGAAACTTACCTTTTGACAATAGTCGGAAGAAACTGATTCTCCTTTACTCTTGATGCACGTTGCTGTTCTGGAACTGACTCCTTTACCACATATGGTTCCTTCGGGAAGTATACACGAGCCCCAACCCCCGATAAACCATTTATAATGGAAACAATTGTATCCTATGTTACAAGGTTCTTCCTGTACCAAAGACGGACATTTTCTACCGGAAGAAGGAAGAGCAATTCTCAGCACTGTTCTGTTTCTATATCTGGAGTAATTGTTGTTACATGGCTATAAAGTTGATAAATATATTATTTTATATGTCTTATAAACATTAATTTCGTATACGAGTGTTTACAATTATTAATTTATTTTACCTGTCTGCACTCGGACCATGGAGACCAAGCAGAAACGATGCAATCGTCGGGACAGGGAAGATAACATTTAACCGTCTCCAGAGGACGAGTGGAAGTATGACAAAATATATCATCTACTTTAATGGATACTTCAGCACCTTTGTTCTTCCTACAACTTCATGCAATAAAATCTGAATGAAAAACTTCGTCTATGAATCGTTGCTTATCTTTAATCAATAATTTAAAAAATATTTATTACCTAACTGATCTATTTTTAGATCCGGAACCACATTTTCTGTCGGAATACAAAACACGACACTCACTCCATTCCTCTGCTTTCCATTGATAATGATTGCAAAACATCTCGCATACGTCTTCTTGGATTTCCTGTAAATTTAGGAATAGTTTGTATGATACGCTGATAAAACAATTCACATTGAAAAGTGTTAACACGCGTGAAACATCGTATTTAATGTAACTTTAAGTGTTGTTATAAAACTAACTTTCAATTTCTACTAGTATTATTGGAACAATTTCTAAAAGCAAAAAAAAATCATAGGAAATTAATTTTGAATAAATATATAAAATATAAAAAAATGTATATTAATTTCGTATTAAATTTTAAGATAATAATATAATAAATATCAAGAATTATCAATAAATTAGAATTTTCCTCTTAATATGTTTCTCTGTCATTGTCATCTGTTTTGCAACGAAGCAGGAATAATAGTTTATTATCGCATGAAAAATTCAATTCTGATGTGTCTCGAATGATTTATTAATGCTATAAAGCAAATAAATAACTTTAATAATTTCTTCATCGAAAAAAATCACTAGTTATGAAAATCTAAAATTAGAAATCACAAAATGTTTTTCTTTCAGTGTATTTTCTGATACAATGAAAAATTGTATGTAAAATTTCTTATAAAATATTGAAAATGCAGCTAATAAACAGTTAATACAGTTAATAAACTATATATATATTTGTTATATTTTATAAATTAAATTTTAAAATACAGTAATTAAATTGTAGGCAATTTCATATTCGAGAAATATATTATTATTATGTAGTAAATAATTTAATCTTCACTTCTAAAAATAAAAGGTAGGTAGACTCAGGTATGTAACAGGGATCGCCAGATATACTCAGCACTCGCTTTAATCAATATCATCATATGCTACACTGTTGTAGTTCAGTTATGTACAGTACATACATAAAATAGAGAGGTTGCGGCCGAAGTTTTCATCTGTAAAACGTGAACGTCGAACGTTCAAACGTCGACGTTCGAACGTCGACGTTCGACGTTCACGTTTTACAGATGAAAACTTCGGCCGCAACCTCTGTAATAAATAAATAAAATGTTTGAATGATGATACACTTTGCACGAGTTTTCTCTGGTGTTTATGAGTTACACGTGGCATTTTCCTCGCTTTTCTCTACCGCTAGTATAAAGCATAAAAACAAATGGAGTTACCCATAATAGGTTTATTTTATTTTGATTTTTACAATTATTTTAAACAGAATTATAAAAATAAAGGAAGTTATAAATTTGCATACTTTTATTTTAATGAAGATACTCAAAGGATTTAGAATTTTTTTTCGTCTAAATGTAAATATAATTATGTAATCATTTGCCATTATTCTATTATAATGAAATTTAATTATCATGTCTCTATAGTTATTTACACGCGGATTCAGTAATGTGGATGATGAAATTGAATGTAAACTTGTAAGACATTATATTAGTGTAATTTCAATGTCGTAATTATGAAAACCAAACAAATAGAATACATTACGTAATTACAGTAACAACAATTCATCGTGTGTTATTTCTATTTAACGCTGCTATAATTTGGNCTACCCTCCCCAGATCATTAACAAGGGATTAGCAGGATACATAAAGTTTTCACTCGATTTAATAGGAATAAACATTCGTTAGATACGCTTATCCTTAGATAAGCCTGTATGTCTCAGTGTAGACCAGTCTTCCCTAAATAATATATATATATAATAAAAATAATTTAAATAAATATATAAATAAGTAAAACTGGTTCCTTTAACATTTTTATCTTCTTTATACCAGCCATTTATAACCTATCTAAAGTTAAGTTCGTATCATTATTATGTCAATACTATAAAATACAATAATATATTTAATAATTTTAGCATTATTAACTTAATTTATATTATAATATAAAACATTTTAAAGAAAAACAGCTCTTTCTAGTGATAAAATTCCTTTTCAGTTTTACAGAAATTTCATTTTTCATAATAATAATTATAATGTTTATAAACAAATATCTATTATAGAAATTCAACAACACTGCTAATTTATTTTTAGTCTGTTCCTAATATAAGTTAATAACAATTTATCTAGACGCAAAAAGTATTTTATTCATCATGTTTTGATTTCTATTCTCACTTAAGATTTTCCCTTCTTCGTAGCAAATTAACTATTCCAAAATTCTTAGATTGGAAACAGAATTAACAGAAATGAGAACAAAATAAACTGATATTAATACAGTAAATGAATTGTGAATTGTTCAATAAGTGAAGTGAGAGTAAATTGTTAAATATTATAACTTATATATAGGCAACAAATACATTCGACGTGTTACAGAAAAAATAATTAATATTTTACCTTATTGTCAAACTGAACGGAGCAAGGTCGACCCAATTTATTTCCATATCTGGTAACGTATCTTTCTCTCCTTCGATATCCTTGACCACACGTAATGTTGCAAGCACTCCATTCGGACCATTTGGACAATTGACACGTTTCTGGACATTCGACCAAACAAACGTCGGACACTAAACCTGAAAACGAATAAAAATAAGCATTTTTGAGAAAAAAAAAATTATTTGAAAAGTAAATTTCTACTCAACTGTTGCTGACCCTTCTGTTCGCAAGATTCGATCTTATTCCCTCTGATGTATCGTTTTCCCACTCCACATTCTCCGACACTCACGTTTTCCTTTCTTTTAAATGACAAGCTGTCTTCATCTACAATACAATTCGACCAATGACCCTCGGGAGTTGCCAAGACCTCTGCCAAAGGAAACGGTTTTGTTTCTTCTAAACGTATCCAATCACACGACTTTCCTAAACATAAAAAATTCTTAAATGGATTTGCCTCTTCACTTCATATAAGGAAAGTAATGCAACTGACCCAATCTTTCCCTAGTCCTCTTCAGAACTGAAGGACAACCTTTGACGTCTTCGGCAGACCAGGAAGTCCATTCTGTCGCGATGCAAGAAGAGTTGCAAAATATAAAACAAGGATCACTCGACTTCGGAACAGATTCTTCATCTAACGCAACACAGTTCCGAATCGGGACTTCTATTCCGTTTTCCTTTACACACGAAATTTCTGAAAGATAAATTCGCAAACTTCGCTCAAGATTTAAACACACAGAAGTGAATTGTTTTTGGAAAACTTACTTCTCACACGAAAGCCTTTTCCGCAATGAAGATTTTCGGCTAAGATACAATTGCTCCAAGTCGACACGTTCCAGAAGAAAGAAGAGGACGAATAACTGTTTAAATTCGGCAAACATTCTTTACCCACGTTGCATTTTCTCGTTTCCTCCAACGTTGAAGGACAGGGACGTCCTCCGTGCGCAGAAGATTGCAATACGAATCTCTCTCGACGCTGCACTATTCAACATAGATAAGAACCAGTTGCATAAACACACACAAAAAAGAACACTTTCAGCGAAGAATATCTTGATTGAAATTATGAGAATTGTCAAAACCTGAAAGACAGTCGTCTGAACAAGCAGTCCACTCGGTGAAGTTAGTAACTGCGCAGTCCACAGGACAAGGATAGTCGCAGGATCGAAAAATCATCGGTTTGGGTTCGGGAGAACATCTGACAAATATCATTCGTTACATCATCTGATTTTTGCCACATTAGACGTTTTTGGATGCTTACCTGTCATCGGGAACAGTCTGATGCAAAGCAGTGACGCATTGCACGCTTCTAACTTGTACGGATTTACCACAAGTTCCGTTCTTGGGTTTTTGACACGACGACCAATTCGATTTAATCCAATGATAACCAGAGCAGATTTCGTAATCGCACGGTTCTGACTCTGTTAATGTATCCTTGGCTGGACAAGGTTTTCCATCTGAAATGTTTGTAATTGTTTGAAGAACTTCTCTGACGTCCAAAACTTTAAAAAGGGCAAGAAGTAGGTGTAAATCATTAAAATTGTAAAAATGAACCTTATTAATTAGAAAACACTGCAGGTTTCATGCTGTAAGGTTCAATATCATTTGAGTGTCGGTCCACATAGGAATTATATGAAATCATATGTTACAAATATAATTTTAATTACCTGACATATCTTAATCTGAGCAGACAATTATTTGAATAATATTTTAGTATAAGATGTGGTTTCCTAGAAAGCAATGTACTGATTATATTGCTTGGCGTGCTTGACCGAACTAAAAAATTATTTTGCGTTCTGTAGAGCAGTTTTGATATACTGTATTTAGGAAATTTTACTGACATTATATTAAATGCAATATCTTTTCCAGATTATGCTATAGGCACTCAGTAGGATTTACTCTTTGGAAAACCGCTCGCTATTAAATTCCTCGAGTACTCTTGCACTGTATCTTTGCATCAACTGTTTCTGTTCAATGTAAAAGACTATTTCCATCAAAGGGAAACCGTATTTATTGCATAAGAATTAGGCTATATTCTTCTCTACTACACAGTTTTTGTGTTATCATCTAGGCATTTAAAAATACAAATCTCAGGTTTATAGATGAATAATTCTGTTTTCCGGGTGTTTACTTAGAGTTTCACACAATATTCGTATTTTTGCAGTTATAGTTTAGTATCTTCACATGATTAAATAGGTAGCAATCATCATTTGATACGCTAGATCTACATTTTGTACGGCCATCTTCATGCTTTTTTACAGCAGCGGAAAACGTTCTATTAACAAAACAAAACAACGCTATTTATTATTTTAAATTTTGTTAATATCTGTTATCTTTCAAGCCACTTCTGGCAACTCAACAATTCGCCTATATGTAAATTTATCCAGAGCCTTTATGACGTTACGCGCACAAAGCACAATTACAGTAAATCTTCCACACGCCAGTTGCTTTTAGTTAATTATAACTATAACTTTAACTAAATAACTATGCTATTCTAACAGCATGTCTCTACAGTTGACAACGCTACCAGTAATGTTACTGTCAACTAATTCTATTATATCAAATTGAAAGGTTGAGTACATTACAAAAGCCATTTTTCTGTGTTGTTAATGATTTACTTCTACTTCTAATGTTTTCCTTAATTAGTGGTCACCATTACATTTATTTTACGAGTGCGCAGTTACTTGCCTGATCCGTGTTCCGCGATGACCCTTCTTCGTCTCGTCCTGACTTCTTCCTTTTCTTCCGAATTGCATTCGGCCTCGCAGGACGACCATTCCGTCCATTCCGCTAAAACACAATCTCTAGGACAAGGAACGTAACATGGTGCCAACAGTTTTGGAGGTAACACGTGTATCTGACACAGAGACGAAGACACGTGCTTCTATAAAAATCGACTTTTATCACATACAAAATATTAATTTAAAATTAATTTTTAATATCGAAGTATTTACCCCTTTGGGATTGATGCAAATCGCTTCCCTTTTCATCATTCCTTGGCCACAGGGTTGTGTGACGTCGTGCAAGCGACACGAACTCCAATTTCCCGTCACCCATCTGACCACTTCCGGTTCCCGACATGACTTCACTTCCACTAACCAAGGACACTCGTGAATGCCGCTGGGCTTTTGTAGGATTTCTCTGTTCCTTTTCCGATAACCTATTCAACGAATGGCTCATTAATTGTATCGTCGACGCTAAACAGGACATTGAACATCTCACCTGTAGTTGATTTTAACGGTTCCCGAACATTTACAGGTAGACAGGTACTCCAAAGGGACCATTCGGAGACCGTGCATTTCTTGGCGCATTCCACGTTGCATTGTTGCATGGATGGTGGTCTGATTTCTTTACAATTGCNTATACTTCAGATGTTAATTTAGTATCAAAAACGTAAAATATTTGAGTAGCCCGAGAAATAGCCGAAGATTGCAGCGTCACAGCACTAGCGAAAATTTAAATTTACCGGCTGGAATGCTTTCGGATAACCAACGTTTCGGATAACCAGCTTTCGGATAAACGACGCTCTACTGTATAAGTAGGGGAGACTGGTCCACAGTGAGACGGTGCGGTTTACTTCAAATTTATGCTGTTTTGTGGCACCATTTTACCATCGAGATAATTGTCATAGTTGCACCCATACACAATTAAAACCATTTTTGTGGGAAATAGAAACTTTCATAGTAAGTAAGATTTTTTTGTTTGTAAGTCTTCAATGTAAATGCTTGGAGTGCAACTGGAAGTACTATAAAATATATTAATGACTAGAACCTGAGTTTCATATGAAATATCAGTAAAAGTATGATTATTAAGTTGTCTTTCCGCTCATGGAAAGGCTTTCTCAGTGTTACAGGATTAGATATTTATCACTTTTTTATGGATGTGTGCCTGCAGTACACAGCGAAACATGATGAACTACAGTGAGCTTTATTTCATCGAAGCAGTTCAAAGATTTCCCTAAAGGTACATCTAGGAAATCAAACAGGACTACTAGAAGGAAAAAAAACAAAGTATGATCATGACATTCCAGACTGACGTTCCAGAAAAAAAGAAATCTACAGGGTTATGAAGCAAAAGAAACAACATAATAATCAAACGAGAAAAAGTACTTACAACAGAATCTTAATTAATAGGCCTAATCCTAATAGCAGTGACATTGATGAACTTACGCAAAAATCAAACAATGATTTTGTTACATAAGTTCCTGTTGCACTGCAATCAGATTTCTGTGAAAAACTAGATGGAGATCCTAAGAAAGGAAACTATGTTCTAGTAGAGTTTTGTGACAAAATATATTACATTGGAAAAATAATTAAAGAAAAAGATGATAAAGAAGACCTCAAAGTTTCTTTCCTAAGAAGATCTCAAAAGTTTCAAGGAAGTTTTGTATACCCTAGAGTTTCAGACTTTGCAAGTATGAACATCGAAATAAAAATGTTACTACCCTCCCCAGATCATTAACAAGGGATTAGCAGGATACATAAAGTTTTCACTCGATTTAATAGGAATAAACATTCGTTAGATACGCTTATCCTTAGATAAGCCTGTATGTCTCAGTGTAGACCAGTCTTCCCTAAATAATATATATATATAATAAAAATAATTTAAATAAATATATAAATTTTTAAAAATTAATTTCAAATTTATTCAAATAATCATTTATGTTAATTACGATTTACAGTTAATAACTGAAAAATGAAAATTATTTAGTTTTGAAGTTGGTGTTAAATTAAAGAAGTTAAGGTGGCCTCTACAGCTCTGGGAAACTCGAGATCAGCGGGTCAGAAAACTTCGGAAATTTTTCGGGGATCCTTCCGAATATGTTATATTCTGTACCTCACCACTCGGCTGCCTTACTGTGCGCTGACCGAACCCATAACGGGCTTGTTAAAAAGGCCCCCTTACTGTCCACAGGAGGAAGAAAGTTAAAAATGAATAAGGAACATAGATGAAGTAAAGTAGCTAGGTAAAAATTGTTAACATAGTTATTGGCTACTTAATTTAAGCTAAATAATTATAGAAGTATATATTTATATTTTAAAAAATAAACACACGAGAAAATAGTTACGTATGATGGCATGCAGATGTAATACAGTGCTAGACAAAAGTATAGTCATTGTAAAAAGCGTAATAACTTGTTATAATTGCTATGTATGAAAATGAATGATGAAAACTAATAGAATAGGAGAACATATATATAAAAGAATTTGTGAAAAAATCAAATAGGTGTGTTTCATGGTCTGTTACTTAATTCAATTTACAGCATCGTAGACGAAAATATAAGGCCAATACTATAAATAATACGTATCTTTGCTATTTGTCAAGTAACAATAGACAAATCAAGGAAGAATTTGCATAACTCTCTAGCTTTATAAACCAGGTTAATATAACATCATTTGTCGCTTAGTATAGGAGCAAACGGATAGCAACGAAAATGCCGAATGGTACGCAATTGTCTGAGTTCGTAATAAGACAAATTATGGGAATGAAACAATGTGGAAAAATAGGAGTACAAATTACTGCTACTGTAGGACATTCGAAGATCATAGTGAACATCTTACAAAATCCAGCCGAATACGGAACAGGAAAGCGGTCAGGAAGACCGCAAGTGTTAACCAACCGTCAAGAAAAAAACCAAGCAATATCTATTGCACCTTATGACAAATACTTTTCCTCGGAGATAGTGGCACATCCTTTAACTGCAGTCCAGAAAAAAACACGTATGTCGTTTGCTTGTCGGAACATAACCTTTAGTGAGAAATGGAATGTTGAGAAGTTTAACTTACGAGTTAGATGGACCAGATGGCTTTCGACATTATGGCATCATATCTGTGATAACAAGCAGCATTTCTCAAGTGTCAGTTTAGAAGTGGATTGGTGATGATATGTAGTGCATTAGCTGCTGATGGTGCCTACCAATTGTAATGATTTCTACACGAATGACTTCGTCATTATACCAGTATATGCTTGCGGAACATTTGCTACTACAAGAACCGCTGTGCACTCGGGGGTGGAGGGGAATGAAAAGGATGACACCTTGGCCAAACAATCAGCAACTACTTCCTGGGACAGGATTCCCATTCGTACCAATAAGAATACTATCAACCAGACTGCACTTCTGTGGCAACGACATTGGGAAAGGACAACACTGGTCGACTAACCTTCCGTTTCCTCTCAGACATCAGCTTTAGGCTAAAGATGAAGCGACAGCAGATCGGCCTCCATATAACACAAGTCATCAGCGATAACGGGAACTTTAATCAGTACTTAAACCGGTTCAAGAATAGGGAGACCACCTACTGCACCTGCGATGACATCTCCACTCAAGACTCTCTTCACTTAATTTTCTACTGTGGTCATTATGGCGAAATACGGGATACATCAATGAGGGTAGCCATTAAGGAAGGATACGACTGGCCCTGCTCGTTAGACATTCTCACTAGTGATCCTGTTGATTTTAGGGAACTTGTGAACTTTATACTATCAACAGCTAGTACTTCTAACCGTAGCAACACACCTAACAGGTAACAGCTGGGTGTTCCAGCTGCGCCGGTTTCCGACTCAATTTGACTCTTGACCTATTCGCAACAGAGAATTGCCATCTGCTTAAGTGTTTGTGTGTGTCTCCTCTAGTTTATCGTCGGTGTACGTCCATGTCCAAGCGTATTTTGTCGTACAGGTAATATTGCAAATAATCAGGTTGAAATTTTGTTTAATTTTACTGTCTACAATCATTAATATGTCAATTATTCCTTGTTCAATTACTCTTACAGGTTATTGGTAAGCGCCATATATTAGGGTGCAGAACTTGGTTCGCACCTCTTGCTGTCTATGGATATGTAAGTTTAGTATCTATAATATAGATACTGGGTATCGGGTTATCGGGTATACTTTGTTAAATCTCATCGCGATATCTTTTCCCTATAGTTTATTGTTTTTTGTACTGTACTGTACATGAATACAGTTTGTTTCTATAAATTTCATGCGGCGCTTATAGACTCTCTCTCTCTCACCTTCTATTATTTAACCTTTTACTCTCTCTCCTCTGCTAGGAAATACCTTTGAGTGGTCCTGGCCTTTCCGCCCTATTAATGTTACTAATGTGTACGTTTGGCAAATGGATTTCACGCTCCATTTTATCCATCCACAAACACCAAGGATTCGTTTTTAGCAAATAACGCTACTGTTCTGAATTGGTCTACACGTAGCCTGGACATAAATCTTACGAAAAATCTGTGAGGTTTGTTGGGATGCAATCTGAAAAATTGTAGACCTGTAAATTCCCAGGTCGTCCGTCCGTCCTTTCTTGATCTCGAGAAAGAAGTTAGATAAATAAACGACGAAACCACCCTTAGGGTCAGGAGTATATAAAACATAAACGAACTTCCAATGAAAAACGGAAGTCACGTTATTTCAATTCAAAATTTTTCCCCTGAAAGCAGTTAATAGATGACCGGCACGACTCTATTGTTAAAGGAAAAGTATGATGTACAGGGGCAAGACACTGCTAATTTCAGGTGGAGAGCATATATTTCAAATGAAATTAATTAAAAATACAATAAAAAATTGCAAACCGGCACTGTATTTGTTGTTCCATAATGTTTTAGATTGACATATTAATAAACTAAATATCTATGATCACAGAATTTTCTTCCGAAAAGTGTTCTACATTCAGCGAAATTCCATCCTTCCGACATTACACACACCATTACGTTTGATAGAGGTAATAGATCGGACCAAACTATTGGTGTGTTTTCTCGTAGCTAACCAAATACTGATTGTTCGACTGTGCTTTTACGTCATACCTTCCAGTTTTTATTGTTTCCGGGAACACTTTTTTTTTCTTATCCGTTAGCAAACGGCATTATCAAGCTATTAGTTTATTTGAACAAGATACTAAACGACTCGATCAGTTGTTTCTCTTAAAGATAACAAAACAGGAAGAGGAGAAGACATGAAAACGCTGTAACAGAAATCATTTCGATTAAAAGAAAACTGGTTGGTGCATGGAAACATACTTTATATTTATATAACTTTAAACTTGTAATTTTGACTTGCAGTTTAAATTTGTAAAAGATTAATTAGGCTAAATATTTTTGGTTCCAATTATATCGACTTCTTAATTATTAAAATATATATATATATATATATACTGTATTTTTGAATACAGTTTCAAAGCATTACCTTTGTTTCTCATACAAAGAACTATCCTTGTCTGGAGTCCTCCTCCACACGTTTTATCTACAGGGGCGCAACGGCTCCAGGCGGAACGAACCCATTTAAATCTGCAAATTATGGAAATTCTCTGAAATATAATTAATCCCGTAAATATCCTTCTGCGCAGACAGAAAACGAGAGCAAACTTTACTCACTCGCTATCGCACGATGCCAATCCGTCTCGGACGGACTTTCTCTCCACCAGGGGAGGACACGGCGCTCCCTCTCCTTCTGGAAGTTTTTCTATCTTTCTACGTCTGCGTCTGTATTCCGGATACACGTGTCCATCGGAAGTGATGCAACCTTCTCCGACGGTGGTCCATTGACTCCATTCGGACACCCGACAGTCCCGAGGAACTATACAACTTTCGATCAGCGGTACCCGCAATAGGTGGTTTTTACACCAACTGAATCAAACAATTATTTAATATTTTAGTTACATATACATCGAAATTTATTAAAATATAATTTTAATATTTAAAAAATATCGATAAATTGATACAATAAGACATTTTTTAACTAAAATAGTTTCAATTTTATCTGAAAGATGGCGCCAGAGTAATCATTTTTCACCCCCTCATCATTAACATTTATAATATTTTACTATTAATTTATATAAATCTTTCGTAACTTTATGTACGGTACGTTTTAAAGTAAAGCATATAATAAATTATATATATAGTAAAAAGCATTATATTTGTAACCGACTTTACGAAGTTTTCTAATGAAATTGTATATTGACACAGAAGAAGATAGAAGATATTTCTATCATCCTCCATGGATGATGTAAAGAGAAGAGTGTGTGAGGCTTTAAAGACTGAATAGAGACAGAATTAGTAGAGTTAATTTTAGCTTAGTTTAATTATTAAATGAGTGTTCAACATGTAATTTTTATTTATATATATACTTAATTTCATTTCTTGTATTGTTGCTTGATAAAATTAATAAATAAATTTAATTAAAATGAAATTCTTCTTTCTAATCTTGGAAGAGAGTAATTAATAATCTCAAGTACTGTATACTGTATAGGCCTATATATGTGTGTGTGTGTGTGTATCTTCATTCCATTGTGTCATTGTCATTATAAATTTATTATCCTTTGTTAAAATGGCCTTTCGTTAATCGTTTGGGATGATCAATCGCTCTTTCTGCTTCGAATTTCTGATTAAATCGGCTTATTAAAATCAAGGTTACGTTATTATTTAATATCTCTCTTTAAACTAGGAATTACTTGTCAAGTTTATACAAGGTGCAGAAGATAATGTCGATGTAGGCCTACTGGGGATTAAAAGAAATTAGTTAGAAGAAAAAAGTTTTACTCCGGAATATTTCTAGAAAATTAAACTTTCGTACAAAAAGTTGTAGAGAAGAATTTCGAGTACAACACGACGAAGGGAAAATGAGGAAGGAGAGAGAGAGAGAGAGAGAGAGAGAGAGAGAGGATGAAAAAAGAGGGAGAAGAATATGGAGAAGAGGGAAAAGAATGTGGGCTAATTTTATAATTAGACTCCATTCGAACCTCCTCATAGTCGAATATAGAAAATAACAGAAATTCGTTTTAAAACTTAGCTTTGTGTGTCTTCTGGGGTAGAGAAGCGTCGACACGTATTGAGAATGCGATAAGAGAAAGGAGAATTCTCTTTCTGTCTTCAAACGATTTTCTTTTTTCATGCCGAAAGCTTCGATTTTATACATTCGACATATTAAAATTCCGATTTCGATTCGATCGAAGAGTGACAGCGCGGTTGCGTGCCACGTGATATTTCGAATGTCGAAAGGAAGAGGTCGCATCCTCGCAGTCAGACGGAAAATATATACTCCAAGGCGTTAAGACAGGTTCTCCTTCGGTCGAAGTAGGAATCATTCCCTATTCCCGCGCGGAGAAAAGAGTGTCGCGCGTAGAAACTTTTCGCATCTTTACGCGCGTCGTTCGTTCGAAAGCGATTCAAGCGATACGCGACTTCGTTACAGAGAGCAAACTTTCATAGAAACTCGAGTATTTCGTTTCTTAACGACTGAAAAAGTTTTCTTTCTAGAATCGTAGTCGGAACTTACTACAGAAATGACCGAAATTTAAGTGTTACTTCGATCCTTAATTAATGCGGAAATAAAGAAAATTGTAACGGAATATCGCGAAGAGTTTTCTCCCTCTTTTTTCTCGACTAGCGTAAATGTTTGCATAATAATCTTTTTATAAAATCGCAGCCAGAAGAGCCAATCTAAAAAGAATTCTTCTCGAAGTTTTTCAAAGACTTCGCATGCTACAAGTGAAAAATCTTTCAAATTTTTTCGCCCTTTGGGAATTAATTACCTAGACTTAATTTTAAGGAAACTATTAAAACGGAAGATTATAAAAAAAAAGACTTTACTTGGATGGAACGACTCGTCCTCGGGCGTCAATACAGGAGACGTTTCTAGTCCTTCGACCCACCCGGGGCCATCCGGATACGGCTTCGCTTTGACAGGAGCTCCAACCGCCCAAGACGGCAAGAAATCGTAGGATTTTCTGAGGACAGCTTCTGCCCGGAGGACATTCCTCCGACTGGGCCAGAGAGGGACAGAGTCTGCCTCCCTTCTCGGGAGCTACCAAAACTCTCCTGATCCTAGTCCGGCGATTCGAGACGCAATCTCCGCATCCCGTCCATTCTCCGTAGTCCGACACCACGCAGCCCCTGGGACATTCTCTTCGGCACTTTCTCTCTTCGGCCGGTTTGGGGAGGAGAGCCGAGCAGACCCGATCGGGCAGAGTCTCGTTACGCCTCCGACTCCGTCCCTCGTCGTAGACGCAAATCACTTCTCGACTCGTCTTACCCCAATTTTCCCGGCATCCGGTCGAATTGTCGGAAACGAGACACTCTCCCCATTCTCCTACTTTCCACCTGAAAATCAATCGTCCGTTAACTTTCTAAAATCGTCGTTAAACGGTTTTTAAATTTAATTCAAAAACGATGGCGAGCGAACGAAGACGTTATCTCCACACTTGTGCAGAAAACAACGGAAACAATTTAACTTGTTGAGAAATAAGTCAGCTTAATAGCTAATCCAGAAATCTTTAGAGGGATGCAGAAAGGAAAACAGTACATTTCTTTTACGTTAAGTACCCAGTTTTACTAGGGAAAAGTCCCCAAAAGTAAGGTGCATCTGCATCCTACGCACTTCTCCCAAATCCGTCCTCATTAAGTTACGTATTTTACCCTTAACTTTCGTGTAAACCCCACAAGTTATGGTGTCGTCGTCGTCGTCGTTCACTCGCTCTTCTGTGGAATAAAACATTAGTCAGAAATGCCTGCCTACCTGACAGATTTCGCCCGTCTTCCGCACACCTTAGGGAGGTTTCTTTCATTGCCAAGTCTCTCTTCATTGTCGTTGCAGTTCTCTCGCCGGATGCGAAATTCGCTACGACTTCGCAAAACTGCCGCTCGAATGTTAAGAGTGATCGGATTGATAATCCTGGAACGAGAGCGAACTGAACGAAGGAGGGAAGGATCGGGAGGTGAGGGATGATAAGAGATAGCGTCCAGAGGAAAAGAGAGGAGGAGGGCAACCAAGGCGCACTTCCTCATACGGGTCATCTGAAAGAAAAGACTAAATAAATAAATAAATAAACAGATTAAGTATTTGGGAATTAAGCGGTTATTTTTTGGAGCGATGATTCTAAGCATTTTCCCATTATCCGAGCCTCGTTAAGTCCGGTAATTAGAACTTAGCCAACTATAATAAATCCGATCGTCCTTTTACGCGTATCCGTAATTAATTGCCTCTGTGGATAATTATTTTGCGCGTCTCCGAAACGCATTTAAAATTTATGGTACGACGAAAAATTTAATTCGATTCTCGTTTCGTAGTCGTTCGTGGATCGTAAATTTTTCTACACATAAATCGCCGAAAATCGAAAGACGACGTCACACCGGAAACAAAAAGAAGTTTTGACAAGGGAGACAGACTTCTTTTCTAACGGAAGAGGACGAATTTTTTTTTCTTTTTTAATTTAATTTAATTTTTTTTTTCGTTCTTAAACCGGAAAGTTAACGATGAAATAAAGAGAGTGATTTACGACTTTTTTTCGCATTAATTTAATCGGGAAAGAAACTTAATTCCGTCGAAACTTTCCGGAAATTCTTGCTTCCGACCATCCGGAAATGCTAGAATTCTTTCCGTTTCCGGGCGACCAGTAATGATCAATTTGACCGACGGTGACGAAGTTCGTTTCCAAACACTTTACGTTCTTACTATTTCAGAAGGTGAGAAATGAACGTTAAATAAATAAATAAATAAAAGAACTGGAATTATTAAAAAAAACGAATTTCTACTGTTTTTTCTCTATAATTTTCTCGTAAAATTAGACGTTTTGCAAAAAGAAGGTGTTGGAATTAATCGCGGGTCACGTTTATGTAATTGCGATCCTCGCAGTGTGTCCTTAGCGCTGAATAAACGACAGTAATTCGGATTGGTTCGGTGGCGCGTGTTTTATGACGCATCCCTTCGGATTCCATGTCGTCGCTCTTTCCTCTTCCGGTCCGAGATTAATTTACTCTCGCATCCGGAACTAATCTCTTTACCTGGAAACAGTGTCCATTGATCTCGAGCCCGTTGAAGTCGCACGTTACTAAAAATGATCCGATGACGGAATATCACAAAAGCGAAAATAGATTTTAAAAATATCGAAGTTGAAAAATTCACTTCACACGGAAAAATCCTCATTAATAAAATTATTCTAACGAAGAATCGGTTACGTCAAAAGAGACGAAGAGTCTCGGATGATCGCCTTTCAAGAAACGTAATCGTTGATTCGAAAAGTAAACAAATCGTCTTAAAATGAGGGAGAGCGAAGGAAGAATTTTCTAACTTTCCGACTTACGGAAACAATCGTAAAATGGGATTACGAGCGAAAGTTACGAAACTATTTCGAGAAAGGAGCGAAATCGATTAGTCGTAGAGACGGGCACATCTTTTAAATAACTTATTAAAGGAAAGTTTCAGAACGATTCGAATCTTCTCTTTCCTACTTCGCGAATCTTCTCAGAAAATTCGGAAATAACCCGGTTATTGAGATTAAGAAGAGAGAATCGGCCGTTGCCAGTAGTGGTTTCGTTTAATTACTTAGTTGGATCCCTCCCTTATTTGCGAATTGCGGAGTCGCTTTGGGAGCGTGCTTATTGTTTCCCACCCAATCTAATTTTGCCATTGGCTCTCTCGTCTTTCGTTTTCTCTTGACGATTATTACGTTTCTCCAAATGTATATTCTTCTGTTACCAGACGAAGAATTGTTGCTTCTTTCTCGTGACGGGAGGTCGTCATTTCGGAATATTCTAGGCGTTTTAAACGTCGCAATTCACATCCTCTTCTTCTGTCTCCCGCTGAAGATAGCTTTATTTTCACGAAATGACGGAAGAATAGTTAAGAGCACGTCATTTTGTCCTTTCGTTTTCATCTGGAATATCGAAAGACGAATTGAAACAGGAAAGGAAGATCTCACTACTTTTACAAAAACCGATTTCTCTTGACAACTTTTCTTTAGAAAACACTCGTAATTTCTATAATAAAAACCGACAGATCGGAAGGAACCTTCTCTTAAATTTCAGCATTGTTTGACAGTTTATACGAAGACGGACTCGGTTTTTAGTTCTTTCAAAATTTCTTTACTCAAAAGAGTAAGAAGAGGAAGCGCATCATCACTTCTGGTCCGAAGACAACCTCCCTCCCGCATTAGGAATGCTAAAGTCCTTTTCTATAATTAGAGAGTTTTTGAATTAATAAAGGGCGAACAGACAAATATTTTAATTGCGAAATTCCTTTCTAAATTAAAAAACTCGCTATCTCCGGTCCAAATCGTCCAAAAATCGTCGGTCGCCGATTCTCATTTAGAGAGACACAGTGATCGGGCGGGAGATAATCGCAAAGATTTACCCGTATACAAGAAAACTGAATTAAAATTCTCTCTCTAAATTGCTCAATGAAAACATTTTTGTTCGGAATTTTTTCTTTTTCTTTTTTTTCCTTTATTAATTAAAGAGGGTGAAACACAAAACGGAGGACATCACTTCACGCGATCAAATTTCTCTTTTCTTTCTACTTCCGGCTTTACTTCTGTATGGAGAATTTCGGACAGAACTTCCAACTGACCGATGTCTCGTGACGTATCGATAGATGACGTTATTATTTGACACAAAAAAGAACGACGGTAACAGATTTCGTGCCAGTTCGATATTATTAAAGGAAGGACGTCCGACACCCTAACGTTTCTCGCAGTTCATCGCCTTTCATCTTCCTAACTCATCGAAAAAAAAAAGCAGATTACGAACGATTCTCGTCTTAACGCTTCTAACAAATCGCTAAATCGAGGGAACGTCCCGAACACCGACAACGTTGTTCATACATATAGGTTTAATTCGAATTGTAGGGTAGGGGATGAATGAAAATTTCCCTAAATCGGAATTCTTAACGTTCGCACGAAACTAAATCTCGCTAAGTTTACTCTTTTAAACATAAAATTGAAATTTAAACAAAGGTAAAAATTTTGTACACAGAGGAGAAGGAATTGGAGGAGTCGCGCGCGGAACTTATAGAAGAAATAACTAAATTTACAAAATTAAAGTTTTTATCGAGCATTTATGGATCGAAAGGGAATCGAAAGAGGAAGGAAGAGGGAGAGACATAAAATTATTATTAAAGTTCTTTCACTTACGTTGGAGGAGAGAAACGTCGTCGGTGACTTCGGGCGCCCGACGCCCGTATCCGCTTCTATTCCGAAAACGTTCCACGACAGAGCGGACATGCGCCGACTCTTCTCTGCCAAAAACTTCGCCTCGTCGCTCTTCCACCCCCTTAAAGCCTATTAATATAGATCTACAAAAAATGCAAACTCTTCTTCTTTAATTAATACGGATTTAAATCTGGAAAAAATCGTCTCGGAGTCTTTAAATTCGACCTCCTTTCTTAATAAGGAGTTCGGTGCTTACTTCGGTAATCTCGATCAGCAATAATTTTCGACTCAGACGAGAGGATGAAGAACTTCTTAAAAAAATTTTTTTTCTCTTTTTTAAATAAAAATATCGATTTTTATTACTTTCCGTTTATACGTAACTTTACGAGGAAACACAAGTAAGAGAGTAATTTGTCAGATTGTTAATTATTCGAGGATAACGTGGAGGAAACTTATAGCAAGATATCGAGTTTCCATTTATAGTGTTGGACGACTTATCCGACTTTATCTGTTTACGTCGTCGTAAAGATTGGCATTTCTCTTCCAAACTGTTGACGGTTCTTTCTTCCTCCGCATCACTTCGAGTATTGTGTGGAAATCTGTCGCTGGCACTAAGCTTTGCTGCAAAACTTCTTCTGGTTACGACAGAATATGTCTTCGTGTTACTTCTTCCGTAACTTCGACATAAACTCCGGATTATCGACGTATTAAATTACTTAATTTTTATTTTTCTAATCGCTTCACCAGTCGCTTCTTAATTTCTTTCGATCAGTTTACACTTCGTCGTCGGAACGACAGTATTTTTTGTTACAAGGATTAGAGAAACTGAAATTAATTTAATTATTTAATGTCTTTAATTAACTCAAAAATAACTACAAATTATTAATAGGAAATTAAGATTTAGGAGAATAAAAAAAATGGTAATTTCGTCGCAGATGAAGTGAAGACTCATTTTGATAGAAAACGGAAAAACCTATTCGTTATAAAGAGAGAAAACGAAGAAGAAAAGAAAGAAGATCGACAGTCCTGTAGCTTTTAATGAAAAGCGAACGATGGAAACAATAACCCAAGCAAAAACAACAAAACCGGAAGTTAATAACGAAACGTTTATCGGTTACTACGCCAGGAAAGTTCTATTGTTTTTTTTTTTTTTTTAAGGAACCATACGAAACGAGCAATAACAGGAAGAGACTACGACAAAATGGGAAGTGGAAGAGCTTAATATTTTTTGCTACAAATAATTAGCAAAATACAAACGTAACTTCAACATTTTTACTCCTGAAAGTTCGTCTTTTCCTCATAGAAAATATTTATGTTTCCTCTTTAAACGGTTCGATTGAATCTCAAGAAAAAAACGTTTAACATTAGGAATCAAATAGAAACTCGAGAGACTCAAACCGTACAAAATATACGTTATTTACTTTCTGTAAATTCTATGATTTCAAAGAATAACTGTGTGAGAAAACTGACTAATAATTTGTTCGAGAGAACATTCTTTTTTTTTCTGTTATTTCGTAAGGAACTCCGGAAAAATAAATAATAAATACTTTAATTAAATGGTCAAAACGAACGAATTTATGCGGTCGACATCGATTCTGTAAAGAGGTTTAGACTCGACAACTACTTTTATTTGTTTCTCGCTGTTTAAATTACAATATTTTTGTTGAGGCAGACGTTTCCGGAATTAATTGAAACGATTATCCAACGCCTTAATTAAATTACGAAAAGCGGAAAAATGAATTTTCTCTATATCTGGGAACGAATTCGCTTTAATTTTGATCCGACGATATTTTTCATTTCTCCAATCTATACACGTGTCTTTCCCACATTTTAAGAGAAGAATAATTGGCATTTCTTATCAATGTACTGTACAAAATACGTAAATTACTATAGAATGAATTGAAAGAAAACGTTCCCGAACCTCGGAGATTCTTCGTTAATTATGGAGGAAGGAAACGATCTTTATTATTTATTTATTCTTGTAGAGCCGATTGGAAACGACGATGTTTCTCACTTCCGAAGAAACTAAAAAAGAAAGAAGAAGAAGAAGAAGAAGAAAATAGTAGTGTTGTCATTCGATGTATCGATAATTGCTTTTAGCGTAATACAGTTTGTCTTCCGCGCTTTAAAGAAGACCATAAATTGTCCTGGTCACGCGGTAATTCCGTTTAGCTAGATAATTTATTGCTGTAATTATCTCGGAGAGTTTGGCGAGTGCCCCATTAGCTGCAGCACAATTTGTCCTCTCACCTGATGTCACCGCACGTGTTCTCTAAATGACGAAGCTGATTTTTTTTTCCATCCCATTTCTTTTCCCTCTTCGCAGAATTTCAATTAATTCGCCTATAAGCCTATACGATATAGAATCTAATAGATTTAATTGTTTTATTAGTGAGATTTCTGCTCTTCTGTGAGGATAAAGATCGGTGGAAGCAAGTTCCGGAAGTGTCATTCCGTAGTTTTAAAGAGTCGGGTGACGTGACGTGACGTCACAACCGGCTACGAAAGGGACAGAATGTTGTTTTCGAGTTACGTTAATTACCGTTGTCAATAATTCAAAGAATTCGCTTATTGCCGTCAAAATTTGCCTTTTATCGAGCCGTCGATCCCGTTAAACGCAATTAAATTTGTTTTTTTTTTTTTTATTCTTTTGCCACGTCCGAAAAATCGTTCTTCGTTTGTTTAATTATTATTTTAATTTAATTTCGTTATCTACATAATTAGATCTGAAAAGTTACAATTAGGCATAATGATGTAAATCGCGTTGAAAAAACAAGAATTAGGAATTTTTTTTTACGTCCGAATTTTAAGTAAACTCATTAAAATTCTATTTAAATTAAATTATTCTTTAATTTAATCGATAAAAATTTTATTTTTTATTTTATTTTATTTTTTATTAGAAAACGTGGAAAATAAAGTGAAACAATTAATAATCTACTTCCGGTACACTGATTTGTCTCCATCTGTCGGTCGAATCCGATACTATAATTTCGACTTAATATTATATTTATTCTTAGTAACTATATTAAATAATACGTAAAAATGCATTAATTTTAACATTTAAAATGTACTTAAGAATATTTGTAAACAATCAAAATAAACGTATTATATTAATAGTTTATATACGGGACTTACAAGTTTAGTTTTATTTAAGAAAACGAGATGGCAGCACTAAAAATATTCTGTAACACGTTTCTACGACACGTGCTATAATGATTTGTCACCAAGAACTTCTTATAATTAATACAATTAATTTATGTAAATTTTATAACATTTTTATACATTTTTAAAAGGTGATCCAATAAGAAATTTAATTGGTTAGTTAATAGCGAGGTTGCGGCCGAAGTTTTCAACGCGAAAACGCGAACGTCGGACGTTCAGCGCCGCCTTCCTGTAAACCTAGAAGTTTGACAATGGCGTTTGGAACGTCAGTGAAGTCATGCTCGACGTTCCAAACGCCATTGTCAAACTTCTAGGCTTACAGGAAGGCGGCGCTGAACGTCCGACGTTCACGTTTTCGCGTTGAAAACTTCGGCCGCAACCTCGCTATTAATTTTTTTTTTATGAAAGGAAATGTACAGGATATTCATAAATGTACAGGATATTGCGTAAATGTTTGAAATTACCTGTAGTTCATAAACTTTCATGCTTTTATAGTTGGTTTTGTTTATTTGCGGTATAATTACAGCAGTTTTAAAGCCGGAGAGTGAAAATGAATAAAGGTAAATCAAATGAAAATGTATTTCGTCCTTTGTTTTTATCTTATCCTGCCATAACAATGTCTATTTTTGAGGTGCAAAGGGTTTACGAGGTTGGGAAAACAGATGCCCTCTTATATTATGCGTGGAATGATGTAATAAAAAGTTTCGTCAAGATCCTTTTTGTTCGTGTTACGCGGTGATTAATCGCGATGTTCTCTATTCGAAGTATCTTTTTATTGTCGTCTTATAAGTAAGAGTCTATAATAAAAGAACAGTACTCGAAATCTATGGCGATTATAGTGAGAGGAACAGATCTATTCGACTTTTTATATTATTTTTTTAATATTTATACGACAGAACCAATAAATATTTTGTTACAGATTGAAGAATATTGGATTCTGTTTTTTTCTGCTAGATTAACTTTAAGTAGATAATAATTCGATGTCGATATCTTCGTTGCTCTAAATTCAGTGCGATCCGATAAAGTGGCGACGATACTTGGAAAAGAATGACTTTTCGTCGTCATCGACTTATAAATTTTTTTATAAAGTAAAAAATCTGAAATATATGCTAGATAGGGTGATTCTAGAAGAGATACTTTTTGTTTGTCATCCTATCATGTAACGTCTTCTGGCCAAATTACTTTACTCTGACGATCAAAGAAATACTTAATAATTTAAGAGTTAATTAGCCATATTGCGACCGAAGTTTTCATCTGTAAAACGTAAACGTCGAACGTCGAGCGCCGCTTACAAGATAGCGGCGCTCGACGTTCGACGTTCACGTTTTACAGATGAAAACTTCGGCCGAAACCTGACTAATTTATGAAAGACATAACGTGTGTTTTTACAAGAAACTATTTGAATTCCGGATACGTTTACAGTCCATCCATTTCTCCCGGAATCGTGAAGACTTCCAATCATCTACGAATGTAATTTTTCTCAAATGTTTCTGCCATTTAATAAATTGTACAATCAGGAAACAAATCTCAGTTTTGTTTCCTTTACCGAAAAGTTTATGGATTCGGAATTCCGTCCATTCAGAGAAACTGCAAATGCCAGTGAATTTCTTCTTCTTCTTTATCTTTTTTTATAAAATCGACTGTTTTAGAATTTTGTTTCTTAATTAATTCTTCGAATGAATTTTTAATGTTAGTTTGAATGCCGTGAAAAAAATCAATGGAAGAAAGAAAGCGGATTAGATAATAATTAAAGAAAAGTGAAAACCGATGTAGAACCCAGTAATGTTTAAAATTTTTCTGTGTTTTTGATTATCAAAGGAAGTGGAAATATGCCACTCATCGATTATTTTCGTGCTAAAGGGAAAAGCAAATCTCCAT